CATGTAATAGATAGTTTCTATTATTCCCGGTAAAACATGTAATTTTCTTTCTTCGTTGAGGGTGGAAAAGAACAATTTCCAATTATGGATGAATAAATAGATATCTATCTCTATGCCCTTACTTTCCGCTGGTATAGACGCAGTCACGGTTAAAGAGTGCTCTATCACCAATGTTATGCTGTTTTAATGTTTCACTGCTTTTAATTGACTTTCTTCAAACTGGGTTTCGACAAAATGGGATTTCGGCAAAGTGGACTAGGCAATCTGGGATTCGGCAAACTGGATTTCGACATTATGGCGTAGATCCGACGAAACCTCACCACCAGGCCCTCTCACAGCCCCAATCGGACGTAATGCAGTGACGGCACCATAGATTTCCCGATATGAAGACCCAAATTTCTCGACAATTCATGCCAGGAAATTTCCCCCAGAGACTGTAAAAGCAGTGTTCGCACAAAAGTTTTCGATGGGGAGTCCAAGATCCCGTTTCTCCAGATCATCTATCCCTCACCACCTCCGCTGGTGGCGCCTACACTGATCTTTTCCGATTTCAAATATAAAGACCTTTTTTGAGGAAGTGCACTTATATGGTATTTTATTCTTACTGATTTGAGTAGACTTACATTACATTATAAACAGAGGAAAACAATAGAAAGTTCACTCATAAATACTGGGAGGGTAGTTTTCACCATGTAGTTTGATCACTGTTTAATATATAAATTATTATTTTATAAATAAATTAGAAATACCGGGGGTGACTTGTGGGGGGATAATTTTAGCTGCTTTATATTTACTTTATCTAATATATTGTTTACAGTTTACGACTACATTTTCTACTCTGAGCCGACCCTTACAATGCTATTTTAATGTAAATATTATGTTTACAAATGACTATAAAAGGATACTGAGCCAACAGCTCTACCTCCCATACTTCAGAGGAGACAATGAACCATTCCGCTAAGTTCCAACCCTTAAAAATATTGTGCCAAAAGAAATAAATAAATAACAACCCTAGATGCCCGGAAATAGCATCAACCTATAGAGCCACTTCCTCTATAGTGGGCGACTAGATACCCTACCCATGCTCTGCATGGTCGGGGCAACGAGGCCAGTAGCTTAAACGTCTAGCTTATCCGGAAGACAATGTGCTATTGAAACTTGCATAATCACCCCTCCAGCTAAAACAAGGGCGAGCGGAAATATGATTTATTGACTACGGTATACAGTATAGAAAAAGGCCACCCCACAAAAGCATTAGCTTTGAAACGCGTTGCCACACCTAAGAACAATTACAATAAAGGGAGATAATCATACGGTTCATGATGATAATAATTAATACAAATAGTAATAATATTAAATTTAACAATAATAATAGGTCTAATATAATAAGTCTAATTATAATAGGTCGTCTGATAATAATAGGCTAATAATATAATAATAATTATTATAATGATAATAATAATAATAATAATAATAATAATAATAATAATAATAATAATAATAATAATAATGTCAGCTTTCTTTAGCGTATAGTGCCTACATGAGGCAATGCCAGTCAACCTTGTAATATATGCCCTACTTTAAAGGTTTTAGTACAGGTTATAACGTAAATAGACGGATATGATCTGATGGGATAAGGAAGTGTTTATCGGTAGTAAGTTTATTTTGAATGGTGGAACAATAGAAAAATACGGAAATGCTGAACCAATAAAAAGGGAGTATAAAAGCTACCGTGAACAGTAAAATGCGAAAGATTGAACAGATGAGATCCCATTAGAAGCCAATAATAATGTCGACGATCGTAAGACCGTCGTACGACACAGTCAGTGCCCGGCATTATACATAGGCCTATTTTTTTTTTACAGTGACATCACCAGTATAGATGTCAAAATCATATCATCTTTCCAAAAGAAGTAGGGAACCGATAACCTTTAGGATAATTTTTATTTATACTTTATAAATGAGGATAAGCAATAAAGCTAACACAGATCATCCGTATTATAGGAATAATTATTTCATGAAGGAATGTATACAGGTACTCAGGATACGGTATTTATTTATCCGTTCGTTTGTTCGTTCATTCAATCATTCATTCATTCACACTTATTTATTAAAAATTCGACATTTTTGTAACAAAATTATTAAGTATAATGATGCTTACGACTGGGAAAGTGTTTCCTTTCACTCTATTTGATCATCAAACATTAGGCCTAAGTATTTTATTCAAAAATGGAATTGAAGTGATATAAAACACCACTCTGATGAACAAGGTAGACTTCTACTAATAAACTGTCAAATTGGTAAAAAACCGTTTATTTTCATTAATATTTATGCCCCATACATTTTAGGCGATAGAATAGCTTTCATTAGAAAATTTGCAAAATGGATTGATAAGAAAAAAAACCGATCACAGTCATATTTTCTTAGCAGGAGATTTCAATAGTATAATGAACATAAATGTGGATAAAGAGGGCGGTGATCCAAATCAAAAAAGAGATACAAAAGTATTAAATTCGTTTTGTAATAAGTTCAATTTTGTAGATATATGGAGAGTTTTAAATAAAGATAAGAAACACTACATACAGAAGTCTAATGTGAAAACAAGATTAGATTATTTTTTTAGTAAATAATGAGAACAAAGTTTGTCACGACATTCTAACTGACCATCTTCCTGTGTCGATAATGTTAACACTGAACTGAATTTCAAGAGGTTCTGGGATTTGGAGATTAAACAGCTCACTCCTTCAAGACAAAACGTATGTAAAACAAATAAAAACAATTATTAAGAATGTTAGGCCCAAAGATGAATGTTCCGTTTTAGATGACAAAAGATTAACTTGGGATTATTGTAAAATGAAAGTAAAAGTTTCAATCAATTTTGCAAAAAAAAAAGCGAGGGTTAACAGTAAAACTGCAAACGAGATATAAATTCGATTAAAACAACTTCAAGATCTCAATCTGATCAATAAGGAACAGCTGTGCGAAATTGAGAATCTTAAAAAAAAAAAAAAAACCGGCCCTTAGGCCTAATAAATTATATGTTGACAAAATTGAATGGCAACAGATCCATTCACGCATAAAATGGTGCAAAGGAGAAAAAAAAAAAAAATTTTCCTTGGGCTTGAAAATAATGATCAAATTAAGAAAACCATTATTAAATTGGAAACAGATAGTGTTGACATTATTACGGACCAAAAACAAATGTTAAAAAACAAGAAGTTGATTAATTTACTTTAAAAATATTTATAGTTCGACTAACCCAGACGAAAATGAATTAAATAATTACTCAGTTAATTTTGTTCACTGATAAGAATGATCAAAACTGTTGTGAAGGTTTGTTTACATTACATAAATGTGAAATAGCAGTTAAGAGTATGGCATTGAATAAGTCAATATAAGACGGTCTACCTGTAGAATTTCATGTTACTCTCTGGGGCAGCGTAAACCCTATGTTAATTGACGCATTAAACAATGCTTACGAAAAACGCGAAATGAGCGCCTCTCAACGCAGGGCAGTGAGCACTTTTACATAAAAAAGGAAAACCTGAACTGCTTAGTAACTGGAGACCGATCAGCTTACTCAATGTCGATTACAAAATTGCTGCAAATGTTCTCGCAACTAGTGTAAAACCACTATCAAATACCATTATTAGTGAAGACCAAACAGCATAATGCATAAAGGACGCTCCATCGGATCCAAAATAAGGTTAATTGATGATGTCATACATTTTTGTAACACCGATAGAAATAATGCCATTGTTTTTGTAGTTTTTGCAAAAGCATTCGACACTGTAGAATGGAGTTTTGTTAGCCTGCAGGCTTTAAAAAGATTTAATTTTGGTATACCATTTATTAGTTGGGTTGAACCCGTGTTTACTTTCATTTATAAAATACTACGGGTCAGGTTTGTCTTATCTAAATTGGTGTTAAGCCCTGCCCCAGACTCAACTTTTATTTGACAAAAAAAAATAAAATAAAATAAAAAATGACAAAACTATCCATCTACACGAAAAATAGTAGAGGACAAATGGAATTTTATATGGCAAATATGAAGGAGAAATGAAGCCGTGGATGACAACGCAAAAATACAGTAATTTCTTTGAACAACATTGAGTTTATAAAAGCAGTCCTGTTTTCCTCTAGGCGCACTTTTTTCAAAAAAGTAAAAGCAAAAAGTATAGAACAGTTCGAACTACCGATTTCACTGAAGCCTGATTTTCCACTTGCGAATCCGAAAGCGCATTCACATTTCTATCGGAGTTTTCGCTTCAACGAAATCGGTACAAGGACACAAGGATAGACCTACTTTATTCATGGACGTTATTAATAGGTCCATGCTTTATTCATCCCACTACGGCGAAATTTAATGGCCGGATACAACAATGTGAAAAAGCATAAGACAATTTACTAATAGTGATAATAATAATAATAATAATATAAGTAATAATAAAACTAAATTATTAATAATAATAATAATAATAGTTATGATATATTCGAATTAACTTGTTAATAATCAATACTGACCACTCACACTAAAAACCCTCTACCTCTGATGTTTACTATTGAATTCCCTAATTCTTCTGGGGATGAAGGAGAGACGATGACGTTCTGTAGAGACCCGCGGTGGCCTCAGTCTACCACTACATGTTGTTGCTTTACGACGAATTAGAGGCAGTCCTAGTTGGAAACTGCTTTGATTGGTCAAGGAGTTTTAGTGGATCAATTTCTGAAACATGCGAGTGTGTCTTGATATTTTTACCACTGAAAATGTCAGGCCTGCAAAATCGATTAAATAAGCATCTGAAACCCCTAAATTGTCATATTTTTCGGGGCGACCCATGGAACACTTACCAGAGATTTTGGACGACGCCCGACCACGCCCACTTTTTTCGTCGGGACAGCGCCCCCCACCCCCCTCGGGCAAATCCTGGCACCATCGCTCTTAATTAAAACTATTGCAATTCTTTAATGAGAAGACAATAATACAAACAATACCACGTTCATAATTTTCAACTGTATTTAATGGATAAAAATAGATTTACAATTGATTTTGAATTGAACAAAATTTATTCCATCAGTAATTACAATTCCACGACTGTACAAATGTTAATACTTTTGTCATGATACTTATTTTCAATCAAAATGTTGGAATACTGTGCGACTGAAACAGAAGCAAAATGCCCGAATTTTGATGATCGATCAGGAGCTCTAAAAAGCTGTTAAGTCGCATCAGGTGGACTACAATATAGGCTACTGGAACGGCACCTGAGTAACACGCAACCCACACCGAGGCTGCTGATGGAGCCTCTCAAGATGGAATCGGAAGCCGCAAGTGCCTGACATAACACACTAGAGAGACTCGGACTGAAAAGACTGATGTAAGCCCAACACCTATGTGAATTCCCTTTCACTAGCCGTACATGTTGACAGTTTTATGCCCAGTATATCATTCAGTTTAAAATTTATTTTTATTAAAAAGACTGAGATGATTTCATATTCTTTAAATTATTAAAATATTTTATAAATTTCTATAAGGGATAACATTCTTCAATACCACCTATTTACTAATGTACTAATTTTTTATACTCCACTAGTTGTCAGTACTCTATTATTCTTTAACTAGACAAATACAGAATTTACGAAATGAAAATGAAATATAAGAACACATTCAACTTATACTGTTGTTGGTCCAAAGCCCAATTAGGGCACAGTATTTTAGTCAAATTTTGACTTGATGGGAAAAAATTATTAAAATAATTAGTTGTTTTTACTAACACTTTTGAATTAACACCTACAACACAGCACTCATTAGTTCCAGTAAACATGTATGGAAAGTAAAATGTAACATTAATTGTTAAAAATATAAATTGGCATTACAATATTAGCAGCATTTGTGTCCTAGGGAACCATATAAGCAGGCTCCTTAGGACACTGTAAATCATTCTCATCGGCTGAAACGTGAACATCTCTGCAGTATTTTACAGTAAATCATTAAAATTAAAGCAAATAATTTAGTAATCAATACCAACAAAAACTACAAAAGAAATACACCAAAGAAATACTACAATATAAATAATTGAACAGAAGGCCAACATTCTCAATGGATTCTAGAAAAATAAGTTAATCATTTTGTTAAACCATCACCACTTCAGTTATTACAAAGTGTACACTGACTACAATTTCATTTCATTCACTCAGTATAGTACAATAACAATTAAAAATCAAGAACACAAAAGGGAAATATGTGAAAATTGGTGCTGTAATATTCTTAAATATATAACATATATTACATAAAATTATATATTTAATAAATGTATTCATGATACATAACAGAAATATATCAATGAAATGTAACAGAAGAGGACTATCAACTATATAGTATGGTATTTGCTATAATATATTATACATAATATTTGCTGCAGATAAATAATGCTGCAGATAAATGAAATCCGGATTAAAATTGGTGGTAAGTAAAAGCTAAAATAGTCTTCACTCTCTTTTAATACATACATACTTTCAACATACATAAACACATTAATTTTACAAACTACTGTATTCCTTTTTTAATGTGTAGTATGCATACGCTGTTAAATTATAGCTACATGCACAGTCCGATGATTGCAAGTACTCAGTACTCATATATAAGGAATTATAATCTCCTGTTACCTAATACCTACAAATATGTTAAGCCAGGATTAGCAGGTTGGGGATAAAATATAAAAAAGTTCAAAATAGATGTAAAATATGTCAATGAACCATGCAGGTTGGTTAAAACCTATATATAAATAATGCACAGATCAAACCAGTGCCATTCAGAAAGTTTGTAATTGGTGTTAATTTTCTCCTGTTAGATTTTACTCTTTTTTTTCTTTAATGTGCAATCGATGCAATTTCAGTGTGATACACCATAGTTATAGTAATAGTAATAAAATATACAATGACGAAAATCTTTGACAGCACTGATAATTGCTTCTTCGGCAAGCACATAATAAATAACAATAATAACAATTTGTATAATGCCTTTACTATAACCAAGGACTGAAATTATAAAATTATTAACGGAGTTCCACTAAGCCATCTCCCTAACTTTGGAGTAATTTGCAATATGTTCCACCCAGTTATGGCTCCACCACCTAACTTTGAGGTTTTGCAAGGGCTATACATTCAGATTTAGATAATAACCCTTATTATTAAATAATTAAATACCCTCAAGTTAAATTTCATTGACAGTTACCAGCAAATAGACAGGTACCAGTAAAATGCTTGCCTTATATGTGAGGCCTAACCTACATACTCTGCTATTCTTTAAGTAGACAAATACATAATTTACGAAATGAAAAAGAACACATTTAACTTATACTGTTGTTGGTCCAAAACCCAATTATGGCACAGTATTTTAGTTACATTTTGACTTGATGGGAAAAAATTATTAGAATAATTAGTTGTTTTTACTAATGCTTTTGAATTAACACCTACAACACAGCACTTATTAGTTCCAGTAAACATGTATGGAAAGTAAAATGTAACATTAATTGTTAAAAATATAAATTGGCATTACAATATTAGCAGCATTTGTGCCCTAGGGAACCATATATGCAGGCTTCTTAGGACACTGTAAATTATTCTCATCAGCTGAAATGTGAACATCTCTGCAGTATTTTACAGTAAATCATTAAAATTAAAGGAAATAATTTAGTAAACAATAATTTCAGTGTGATGCTATGTCAAATTCTGATGATGTTGTTTGAATAAAACCAGAGTATATATATATATATGTACATATACATATATAAGCACTGAAACAAACATGATTGCTTTTCATTAACTGTAGCTCTTAGATAAGCAGTGCACTGCCTAACAAAAAAATAATTTTATTTTTAATAAACGTTGCAGTGTTTAATACTCCTACATACTCATTAAATACATAGCATTCAACTCATACTACTGAAAATCATGAACACAATTACAAGGGTTAAAAAAAAAGTAGGTAAACAAGACTGTAGCTACTGTAAATAAGTTGGAACACAGAAAATATTCAGTAAGCAATTTTAATCTTTTGTGAAGGCAAATAAAACTGCTCCTAATAAGACAATGGTAGGCACGGAAAGCTTCCAGTACTTTTTGAAGAAGGTGCTATATCCTTCTTTTGATGAGGCTTCACCGCCGTACGGGACCTGACCATTCTTCATACTACACCCTGCAACAATATAATGTTACAAAAAGTAAATCAAAGTGATCAATAAAAGATAATGCATAATTTATGCTACATCATTTAAAAATTGACTAGTTTAAAAAAATGGTAATATGACGTTAGACATAATTTTGTTTACATCCATCCTCAGCTGGAAAAAAAAATTACATGAGGCTTGCCATCCCCAAAACCAGCATACTGTTGCAAAATGTTAAACTGATTAATTAGCATAAGAATGTGGCAGTATCGTATACTTTAGTACAGAGAAGCTGTGATACTTTTACTCATAACTTTGGCAATAGAAAGTCAATTCCAGTAAATGTCCCATCATTTTAAACCTTAAAATATGGAGAATAAGAATATATAAAAAGTTCAATTTTCATTTTTTGGTCACTAATCTGGTTCTTTCTGATTTAATGATTTTTTTATAAATAAAATTTAAATTAACTTCTTAGATCTGTTATTTATTAATCTATCAGAATGTGTTTATATAATCCATTTTGTCTTTCTATTTTGGTGTACTTTGTTTTTTGTTAAATCCTTTTTTGAAGGTTCTGTATTTTTTTTTTTTTATTACCTTTGTTCAACTTCAATTTGATTCCTTAATGTATTATATAGTTTGATGAAAATTGCATTAAAGTATTTCATATTTCATATTCCTCATACATGAGATAAAAATCTAATAGCAATTAGTTACCTTTTAGTGCTTCCAATCCTCCATGAGGTTTCCATACAGCCTTCTTTTCAGCGCCTTTAGCCCGTTGCTCTTTCAGGAACTTTTTCCATTGTGGTGGCTCTTTCTTCAGTAGGATCTGCATATGGTTCCAAAATCTATTGCAGCAGAATACACATAATGATTACATTTTTTAAAGGGTACAGTAGGTTTAGGCTATGATTGGTGATGTCTATACTCAAGAGCATGGTCCAGTTAAAAGGGTTAGGCCACAATAATTGATAGGAATCACAGCAAACTGGCTCACTTCCACTACGCAATTCACAGAATAAAGTTCTGTCCGGACTATCAAACAACCATTGTATGGATGCCCATATAGTTATGACATGCCTAAATTTGGTCATGATGTGATGTCATCATGACCATATTAAGGCACTTCACATAGTCTGGACAGGGCTTTATTATTCTTAGAGGTTTTGCCATTTTACCTGAATAAAAATGTATATTTATTCCACCTAATTTATTTATTTATTTATTGTTTAACCTACTGTTATCCTTATGTGCCCAGGATATGATACACAAAACAATAATCCTAATCTACTTACTTTAATAATAATATAATTCATAACAACAACATTAATGACATGACAGTAATAATAATAATAACGATAATAATAATAACAACAACAATAATTATTATCACTATTATTACATTAATAGGATTAAGTCAAGCCAGCAATTAAACTGCTAAGTAAATTGTTTTAACTGTAATTTAATATTATATAATATTCTATTATTATTATTATTATTATTATTATTATTAATTACATTAGATTAGTCTCTGTAGATAGGCCTAGAAAAAATTAAAATAATCTTTGAAAACTTTCTCCAGCATAAAATGTTACAATGGTAAAAAAGAAGATTAAGCCTAGGATTAGATTAGGTCAAATTATATATCATTAACTACGATTATAGATAAGGTTTTCAGAAATAAGGACATGGTCCTTGATGATTAAAACAGAAACACTTACAAATAATGGAAAGTATCAGGCTCTCTGGATATTCGGTTGTTGAAGCCAATGTAGAGATTATCCCAAAACAAACCATGTATAACCGTCTCTCGGTGCACACCCATGCGGTTCTTCATCTACAGAAGAAATTAATACCAATAATGAACACATAATGACAATATCAAGGTAAACAAATTTTAATTCAAAAACTGGTCACTTTCTGCATCACTATTAGGAAAAAAATGTGTTGTACAAGTCTAATGATTTGAACCCAGGACTCTGGGAGAAATAAAAAAGCCACTATATCACAGCTTCATTTCAATATGGTTGTGAGATTTACCTCAAGATAACTGTGTTCACGTTGAGGTCTCTCTCTTGGATAAGATGGCTTCTGACCAATGAAGTCAACCAAAAAGTCATACCCACCCTCAATTGGTTCAAAGTTGTCATCTGTTTCAATCATCTGAGAATAAAGAAAAAATTAACATGATCAACTTTGTGGTAAGGTGTAATATTAATAATGATAAAAATTAATAACAATAATAATCATTATTATTATCTTATTTATTATCTGGGAGGCATACTGTACCTCCATACAGTGTCTTGCTACATAATTACCCATGAACGCTTCCTCTTCTCACTAACATGGTAATCTTAATTTGAAAGACTTCAAAGAGTATATTTATTTAATGGGAAAAAGTAAAATGTATTTAATTTTAGCTAATTGATCCTTTTATTTCTATTGTTTCATAAATATAATTTGTAATTCAATAATCTATTCAAACACTCACTTTTACTATCATTTCTTATAATACAAGTTGGAGCCATATAAGTAATTTGTATAGCACATCATGCAAAAAAGCCTCTATGTGCTTGATCATTGACCTCTTTGAGTTGACATTTTGAAAAAAGTTGATGTTGTCCTATGAAACTAAAACCTACACCTTAAACTAAAGCACGGTTGGCTTATGGCTCCGAGGAGTTCATCCACCTATGAAATACAAATAAGTACAGTAGCACTTTCACTAGCTTCATCAGGTGAATTATTATCATAATGTCATTACTTATGTAAAATTAGGCACATACTGTACAGACCATTTTCGCGAAATTTGAAATGAAAATTTCCGATAACCTGGCAACAACCAATAGGGGACTTCCAGAGGCCTAGCATTACGTTCTACGTAGTTACCATCATGGATTAAATCAATGATAAAACTAAGTTACTAATGAGCACAAATATTTTAAAATGAAAAAATATGAAATTAAGAATAAGTCTAAGTCTTAAAAAGCTATTGCAATTTTTACATATACAGCAATTACAATAATTAGCAAAATCATATCTGTTGTCTACTGTTGATATAGCAAATGTCCAGCAGTGCTAACCGCTGCGCGGTGCTCTATTTTTTTTTTATATATTTCCCCTGTTGCTAAGATCATTGTTCCCATAATTTATACTTTCATATGTATGCCGACGATATCCAGCTTTATCTACCATTTAATCCATTTTTTCAATCTAAACAACCCTCTTATCTTTTTCACCTTCTTAATTTTTATGTCCCAAACTGACGACTCCGCTCTGAAAACAAAAATCTTTTCGTCATCCCAAAATTTAAAACAAAAACATATGGCAAAAGAATGTTCGCCTATGCTGCTTCATCACTGTAGAACGATTTGCCACTGTCTATCAAACTGTCTCCCACTATTGATTTACTTAAGTTAAAACTGAAATCCCATCTCTTTAACTCTAGTTACACCACCCCTTTTCACATTGTCAGTTTTTAAAATCTTTCTCTTGTTTTAAGCTCTGAGCTTTTGATCATTTATTTGAAATTAGTGCATTATAAATATTTTATTATTATTATTATTATTTTTAACTAGCCAGCTGCTCAGGCTAGGCCGCTAGAAGTCCCCCAGTGAGTTGTGAGACGTTGGTGGCACTGTATCAAAATTAAATCCGATAAAATAGTCTATATTTTGTGTTTACAAGTGACTTGTAATATGTGTATGTTCTTAACTAGTTAGAACACCCTAAGATGCAAGTAATGATAATGTATAAATGATGGCACCTACCCTTATGACTAGATTGTAGTTGTTGAAACCAGTCCAATCATAATAGAATTTAATCCACTCAGGATAGGCAAAGATCTCGTTGTCGTAGCTCCCATTAATGGCATCAACATACTTGTCAAATTCCCAACTAAAATAACAATCAAACAAAAATATTATTTAAAGTAACCATTGTCTGAATTTTACATTACAACACAATTTTTTTGTTTCTATTTTTCCTATATGTATTTTACATGCTGTGAAATGGTCCTATTAGAAACTAAGAGTCGTAGTGCCCACAAGAATATGATGAAAATGCCCAGAAACTGACTAGGAGGAGAACAGGAATGACAAGCACGTCCCCCTCAAGGAATGTCTACTATTAAGCAAAGAGTATAAATAGAACAAGAGAGCAAAGTCCCATTTGTAAAAACGTCACGCCTGTGTAGGACGCCCCCTTACGGTTGTATATTCTTTTTATTACCCAGTGCAGCGCTGCGCAGCGCGGTAGAAGTACGCCCGCTATAAACTCAGTAAGCAGAAAACAAAAGTACAGTATCTTGTGGAGAACAGATAAACAGACAAACTGACCGTGCGCGGTGGAGTACTGGGTAATAAAACACATACAAGCATTAGTTGGCGTCCTACACTAGCTGCGTATGGGCGTATCGTTTTTTTACGCTCTCAATGAGCGTTGTTGGCTCTCTTGTTCTATTTATACTCTTTGTATTAAGTGAGTGTTAATGAATTCCTTCAGAAGTAGAGCAGGTTCCACATAATGTGGCAAACAGGTAACCCTATAAATGCATAAAAGCTGGTGCACACTATAGTTGGTTCTCAGTCGATGTTAAGACTCCAGTATGAATACAAAGTCTACTTATGTAGCTCTACTAGATAGATGGCAAAATATAAAATAGTTATTTCTTCCACATGCAACAGCAAAGTACACTCACCATCTATAGGATGGAACCTCTATTTATAGAGCTTAGGGAATGGATGGATTTATTTTTTAGTTGTGAGTAAAAATTCTTGTGTTTCACAAGATTTGAACCAAGGACCCTGGGATTGAAAGACAAGCACCTTATCCAACAAGCTACACTTCCACAGCATTAGTAAGAGACATATGAAATGTTGGACTGTTTATTATTGAGTGAAGATGAAACCAAGGTGTAGGATGTGTACTAGGCTTTATCTTTTATGATACAGTTTTTACATACCATTATATCTTAACTTAAAATCATTGTTTAATATTAGATAAATGATCAGCAATATTAAATATGAATGAATTTGATACATCACTAATATTTAAATACTTACCTGTCCTTCATGACCTTTGTACCTGGAGTTGGTGTTGTAACATAATCACTGAAATATTTGAATAAAAATAATTAAAATAAACAACATATCAAATATTTATAATAATGATTGACTTACTGGATTTTTTAAAATTAATTCTTGTATTGTGTTTGGTTTTACAGTGTACAAACATGCAATGAGCATTAAGTCTTAGCACAAATTTAATAATAACTTAACGGATACAATAATAATATTGAAAATTAATAAAGTGCTGGTATCTGTTTAATAGAAAACACTCATGGCACCCCTCCAGGGGAACTGTACCACACTACAGTGGATCTAAAACCCACACTCAACAGGGAACTATGCCACAATACAGTGGAATTGTGTCCACTCTACAGTGGATCTATACCCACACTCAACAGGGAACTATGCCACAATACAGTGGAATTGTGTCCACTCTACAGTGGATCTATACCCACACTCAACAGGGAACTATGCCACAATACAGTGGAATTGTGTCCACTCTACAGTGGATCTATACCCACACTCAACAGGGAACTATGCCACAATACAGTGGAATTGTGTCCACTCTACAGTGGATCTATACCCACACTCAACAGGGAACTATGCCACAATACAGTGGAATTGTGTCCACTCTACAGTGGATCTATACCCACACTCAACAGGGAACTATGCCACAATACAGTGGAATTGTGTCCACTCTACAGTGGATCTATACCCACACTCAACAGGGAACTATGCCACAATACAGTGGAATTGTGTCCACTCTACAGTGGATCTATACCCACACTCAACAGGGAACTATGCCACAATACAGTGGAATTGTGTCCACTCTACAGTGGATCTATACCCACACTCAACAGGGAACTATGCCACAATACAGTGGAATTGTGTCCACTCTACAGTGGATCTATACCCACACTCAACAGGGAACTATGCCACAATACAGTGGAATTGTGTCCACTCTACAGTGGATCTATACCCACACTCAACAGGGAACTATGCCACAATACAGTGGAATTGTGTCCACTCTACAGTGGATCTATACTATCTCCTATCTGTGTATGCCTGTCTCTTATACACATCTAGATGTGTATAAGAGACAGGTTATGAACAAATGTTGACTTTGTTACATACCAACATGCTCAAGAGCAAATTAAAGTTGCTTACTTGTCTGAGGGGTGGGCTTCCACAAAATAACCAGCAAATGGACAATAAACCTTTGGGGCAACATCACGAATTACTTGAGTCTTGTAGTACAGAAGCTTCTTGCGCTCACGCTTCACAAACTCAGCCTTCCATTGCTCTAAGATATAAATCGAATTAAGTATAAATTAAAGAACCATTATTTCAAATGCTACCCTATAGAGTAAATGTTAAAGAGAATGGAGTTGAATGCTTAGTGGTTTTAAGATGCTTCTAATTTCTGGGTCCTAGGTTGAATTCCTGTGAGAGCAGGACTTTTTCTGACAATTAAAACTCCACTCCATAAGCCTAAAACAAGAGATTTCGGTCATAAAATTATCACTTTATTTCATAAAATTAAGAGGACCCCTGAATATCAGCCGACCTAGACAATGCCTCTATAAATATAATTGGGGAAAAAAATATTTAAAAAATACAATATATTATAAGTATACTTTCAATTATACATTATTTCAATACCAGCAAGCTTCTAATTTACACATAGTAAATCTGCTCAAATATGTGGGAACGAGTGCAAAGTTTTTCATCAGGTCTAACAAACAAATGCAAGGAGTACTGTATGTATAAAAAAAAAAACATAAAATAAACGTAACTTAAAAGAGGAAGGACATGGGGTGGATTGCTATACTATCGGTTGATTTTCCATCGATTTATAATCAGGCGGTACTGGGGAGGGACAACTTGATTTCCTGCTCCACTACAAGTCATCCATTTGTAGAAGCCTTTATGAAGAAAGCCTAACTAAGGTGGCCTAGATTGGCATGAGACCAGCTAACTCCGGCTTTGAACATAAAAGATTGATTTTTTTTAATAAGAGTATACAATGCTCACGATTTATTATGAGAAATCCATGCTACGTTCTCCTAGACCCATTCTAGCTTAGGCCTTGACTAGGTTTAATAATATTATTATATTATCAATAATAAATGCAAATAATAAGAACAGGCAAAAGGAAGAGTAGGAAAGAAAATTGGAGCGGCTGAAATATATACCAAACATTTACAATAATAATCATTTTGTTATTATTACATTACGTCTTTTTGTAAAAAGTTTTGTTGGCACTAATCATCAGAGGTCAAGGTGCCAGCAGCCTATACATTTCATATGTTGACATCGAATCCAAGACCAAATATGTTTGTTTACATGTACATTTATTACTTTCCAAAGACAAAGAACAAAATCATCAAAATCAAGCCCATCTTGAAAAGAAGCCCATCCAAAATTCGCAAAAAAATAAAGCACCCAGGGCTTCAATTCAAGGTTTTACTGTATTTACTGAAGTGGAAATATGGTGATATCAGGGAACAGCAAAACAGACGTGACAGTGTATACCAAAAATAGTTTTAACTGTTTGGATGTTTAAATAGATAAGTTCAGACCTGCTTCCCCTACTTGCCACCCACATAATTTGTACAGTAGGTGTAGGTACAAATTATAACTATATTCTTGCATTAAAATATTGTATGAATGCAAAATTACACATAGTCTTATCTACTTATGAAATAACCAAACATAAACCATTCAGATATTGAAGTACAGTATACACAGATACGGCATGAAGTCAAGGATGTGTAGGCAGGCATGTAAATACTACATGTTGAAGGTTTAAGCACGTCAAGTAAACATGAGTAAAACATCAAAAATGTCTATATAAATAATAAAGATGGTGTTTGTATAAACTACTCTGGTCTGCTGGCTTCTTAAACTACATAGCAGTGGTTTACTAAAAAAAAATAACATATGCATGAGGTAGCAATAATTTAAGTCACTATTTATTAATCTAAATTCAAGATTCAAGATTTCAAGATTCAAGATTCTTTTATTGTCTGAAATAAAACTCAGAAATTGCAATCACTGGCAAGGTAACAAGTGTTAATATCATATAATAAATAAAGAAACAATTACAAAAATATAGAAACTAATTAGCACCAAACAATATCTAGTCAAGATGAACATACAAAGAAAATTAAATACAATTACACATTAAACTTAAACACATTAAACTTACTACTGTAAATAGTAAAATGTATGTGGTTGATATAGGACTGAAATCAAATCGACCAGAATCGTTTATCATGCTTAACCAGTCATAACCTTTGTAGCTTTTTTCAATAATACAATAAACATTTTAGTGTTCCAATACTGTAAATAGTAAAATGTATGTGGTTGATATAGGACTGAAATCAAATCGACCAGAATCGTTTATCATGCTTAACCAGTCATAACCTTTGTAGCTTTTTTCAATAATACAATAAACGTTTTAGTGTTCCAACACTATAAATGCAAAGCTGTGAAATATGTTACTTGAGTTAGTAGAAATGGGTGAGGCGCATTTCCTGACTCTAACTAATCAATCTGAATTCAGATACAGAACACCTGCCTTAGCATGTTGTAAGAATTTGTATTGAAATACAGTCATAGTAACTAATAAAGACTAATAATATAAGCTTCAACTAAGCGTTATTTATGTTAAACATATGAATTATTGACATTAGCACAATACTGTTTACTCCTAATTATTATGTGGTTGATATAGGACTGAAATCAAATCGACCAGAATCGTTTATCATGCTTAACCAGTCATTTTAGTGTTCCAACACTATAAATACAAAGCTATGAAATATGTTACTTGAGTTAGTAGAAATGGGCAAGGTGCGTATGCTGACTCTACTTAATGAATCTGAAATACAGTCATAATAACTAATAAAGACTAATAATATGGGCTTTAACTAAGAGTTATTTACGTTTAACAAATGAATTATTGACATTAGTACTGTTTACTCCTAATTATTTATTAAGCCTAGTAATCCAAAATAACTAATTAATTAAACATCGACTCCTGTCGCATGAGTAAATGTTAATTGTATAGATTTCTATCCATACAAGAAGCATTTACATTTATTCCAAATTTTATTTATTATTTAATTTTTTAATTCTAGAATTATTAAATAAAAATGAATAAATAAATAACATTTATAACTAATAATAATAATAATAATAATAAGAACAATAATAATAATAATAATAATAATAATTAAATAATATCAACAATTGTGGCTTCTGGCTCTCTACTGTGATGATCTGTTCCTTACACCACATTCACAATACCACCTGTGCCTGCTCGTTTTACTCAACATTTTTTTAAATTTCCCTCACATCCAACAGCAAGTACACTTGTCACTTACAGGAAAAGAATGATGCTTTATAAAGCCTCTTTTATGAGACTTAGGAAGTGGAGTTGGTTTTAGTCGTGAGAAAAATTCCTGCTTTGACAGGAACTGAACCCAGGATCCTGGGATCAGAAGGCGAGCACCTTAACCACTGAGCTATTCAACTCCACTCCAACATTCAGGTCCAGTGCAGTATCCATACAGATACAGACTGCTGCATTATTAATATAGTATAGGTTTAATTAACAGACTCTTACCAGTATATTTTCCACCTGTAAATGCCATAGGGAAGCCAGATGCCCCACCGGCAAAATCACTCATCATCACATCAACGTTTGATGGTAGTTTTCCGCCATTAGGATTGGTACAGTCCACTGTGTTCAAGATCAAATGACCTTTGACCAAACAAGAATTCAAAGATTTAATAACGAGGTTTTCAAAAAACCTTAAGTCTATAAATTTAGGTTAAAGAACCTTTCACATTATAACAAGTAACATATTATATTGCAAGGTGTGAAAGTGATTTTAGAAGATGTCCCATTATGCAAATGAATATATAAATATAAATAAGTAAAAATGTGTTTCATATTAATTATTATAATTTTTTTGTGAAATTTCAAACAAAAATCCAAATAGCTCTTCAAGCACTGTCCAGTTAAAGTTATGTGATTTTTTAAAATTTTAAAAAAAATATTTTTTATGATGTTTAAAGTTTACAATTTATGGGCTTAATTTTAATGTTTTCTTTTTTTTTAGTTTTTCAATTTGATATTTTATAGCTCTCTATTTCAAACTAAGTCATTTTTTAATAATGCTTAAATCTGTCTGTTAGTTGATGCGGTGAATTTTTTTCTCATTTTGAATTTTTAAATATGAAATTAATAACTTCAAGCAATTGTAGTATGTACAGTAATTTATATCTGTACACAGGACAATAAAGTCTGATATGATATTATTGACATATGATATGTATTGTATATTAATTAATTATTATCAAAATTTATCAATAAACTGAACTGATATCTCAGCTTGATGCAACTTACGCTAGCATAAAGCTATCTTCTATCTGTGTATGCTGAAGATGGGAAAAATTAAAAATGGGAACATGACACAAGTCCCATCAATTATAAGCACTGATATGCATGACATAGTATTACAGTAGTAGTAAATGCTTGCCGTGCCACTAAGCCCATAGGGCCTGGAGCTTATCCCCATTTCTGTAGCATGAAGGGGATGAGAGTGTGATGCTCCCTCTGGGTGGGATGCTAGTCCACCACATGATACCCCCAGCAATTTGCTGGCACCCACTGATACAGCTGAGTAGACTGAAGCATTGTAGATAAAGTACCTTCCTCAAGGACACAAGCGAAATGCACATGGAAGCATTACATAGATGATAATATATAATCATCAGTATGGTTGACTACTGTAATTGAATACAGAGCTAGCTGGTCATAGGTTAAGAGGAATGGAAAGAATGTTGTTAACAAGATTGTTATTTGCAAAGGCTTAAGTGGTGCATTTAAATTTTTCAATTGAATTCTTGAGGTTTTACTGGCATTTTGTTTTACAAGATTTCACCAGACTGTGGAAAAACACAATTCACCTAGTTCCAACATGCTATTGTGTTTTTTATTCTGTTATGTTGAACCAAGTACCAAGACCAGACATGTGAATAATAATGATTAACTGGCAATATGTCAACATCTTGTTGGCAGATAGTCCTTTAGACATTAAATATAAAACTAGAAGGTGCGCTCTCTTCGCTCGCTTACTCTCTAGTATGTTAAACGTCACGATTAGTTTCAATACAATAGAAGAGTTATTCATAACCACTGAAAGAAGATTGGCCTAACTACAGACGGAAATACACAAAAATTCTATCTATAGAAATTTATCACTTGGCCTAAAAGCGAATGGCGTCATCAAGTAAGGGGTTACTTCTTCGGACTCGGGTTTGGGCTGTTTTCTTAGCAGTCTCGCGGTAGTAGACCTGGTGCACTAGGCAGAGGCAAAAGCTGCTGCTACATCGCACTTGCCGGTGACCGCTGCCAAGAACAAATGGAAATTTCAGGAAAAATTTTTCAGTATTTTTATTACGCCCTCCACTGCCTTGAAATCTCTAAAGATACATTGTTTACATTTACCAGTAAACTTTTAGTTTTATTTTCTCCTCCGTCTGGGTGTTTTTGGCAAAATTGTTTGCTAAATAAGAAAACAAAAACTTTAATTTTATTTTTTTTTTGTCCTCCACTGATGACTGAAACAAGTAATAAACTAAAAAGTTGACTAACTTCTTATATATAGTTTTATATTTTTTTTAAATTTTCCCATATTTTCCATAATTCTAAATAGTAATTTTTATTGGATTTTCTGTATCCAATTTTACCTTTGGTTGATTGATGGATAATAAATTACTTTGACCTTGACTTTGATGATAAATAGAAAATGTAAAAACTGCCCACGACACCATTTTGCTTAATCACCATACTACAACATAATCCCCTTCCCTAACAATAAAGAAGTTGGCAGATAGCCGAGTAAACATTACTCTTCAGACATTATATTTACTTGGTTCAACAAACAAGCTTCTGTTTGCTGCTTCTAGTAGCATAATCATGAAGTGAAAATAAGAATTCAACAGAAAAAAGAAACCACCATGTTGACATTGTTATACCTTTATAGTCAATTAGCAAACACGTATCCATATCCGGGTGTACTCCATCCATCATTATCATAAATCTCAAATCCTTGTTTACCTTGACAAAACAAAACAGAGTAAATAAATATATTTAAAGAAAACAATTTTTGCTTCTACTTGTTTAGTCAATTAGGGGGTGTTTATTCGAGGGAGGGGTTTTTTCCAAATGAGGCTCTAGAGAGGGCCTTTATTCGAGAGGGGGAGTTTAATCAAAGTGGGACGTTTAAAAAAAAATAAATACGGTAATTACCTTAGCTGCTTTTGCATTTATGAGTGTGTGGAAGATTTTAAATCAAATATGATTAGTAGTTGACAGCATTAGGCTGTGTGTTTAAGTGAAGTTATAAATAAAATAAAATAAAAAAGAAAACATAAAATACATTAACTTAAAACAAATTGTCTATCAATTTATTTAACACTAAATTTAAAAGGTAATTTAATAATCAATTCAATAATAATGATTAATAATAATTAAATATAATAAGTTTATTGTTTTATTCTGTATATTTTTATGCATTCTCATTGTGTTTTTCCAGCCTTCTACATTCATCCTAAACCCTGGTTTCCGTAAAATCGCTACACTGTCGCTAGTTTTTTCAGTGTAATCCTTGAACTGCGTAAACTGTGCCCAATGCAATTGAAAACGCTGCCTGATTCAAGTGACCAATCAGCGTTGCCAAGGGAGTTGGCGATGGCATGTAGCGATTTTTATGGAGACCAGTCTTTTCAAGCATTTTTATTTATTGTAACTCAAATCTTGAATTATTTGATCCAAACGACCAACAGGAAGTAATTAAACAACGCACGTTTAGAAGCAATAAACCACACTTAATCAGGTAAGACATGTCTCAGCTGTATCACGCAGCCATAATCAGTGAACTAAAAACTTAACAAATAAGCCACGTCAGCTTATGCTTAGCAATTCTGGTGTTTTAAATAATAATTATTTATATTTTTGCCACATAGTATGAATAATTATTCATAAACTCGAAACACCTGCATCACCAACTATACGTATGCACTAAATGTTTATTGCTTTTAAATTTATGTTTTTTTTTATATCCTGTCCATTATTGATGATTTAAGTTACATCAGTTGTGTTAGTAAGGATAAATAAAAGAAAGACTGGAAAAACTTGCAGAAAGGCTGAAGTTGATCTTAATATTCATTTTAATCATAATGCAATATTGAAAAAATAATGAAAACCTTTTTATACATATATATTATATTTTATAATTTTTTAATTTTCTAATATTTTTCATAACTATAAATAGCAATTTGTATTCGATTTGCCATATCTGTATTTTTTATACCCATTTCTTTTTCTTTATGTTATCATGTGTATTTTATTTTGTTTGCAAGGCAATATTCAATTCTACCTTGGTTTTGACAATAAAATTACTGACTTTGATCATGGAGGTATAAAATCTATTTTTATACCTCCATGCTTTGATGATATTGCCACAACATAAATCCATTCCCAGACATATTAAATTGAAAAAAAATTCAAGGCCATTACACATCTGTTTAATGGTATAACCATGTTATATATTACAAATAATGATAAATATACAATACAAATGAAAGGCAAAAGTATATTGATTTTTAAAAATATCAGTCATAGGCAGCAGGTAGTTAGAAGTAATTTAATATATTTTTTTATTTATTTATGGGAGTAGATTTTGAAATTTGTATTGAATATAGGGCACATAGAAAAAATTATTAGATTATCACTCTTTAAAAAATAAAAATTGAGGGTGGGAGGTTTTTTTTTTTTTTTTTGAAAGGAAGGTTACACCCAGGGATTCCTGTGTGCATCAACAGGACAAAAAAAGAAAACAAAATAATTTTTCGAAGTGGCAGAAGCATATAAATAACTGCCCTGCGATTCAATGGCATATCCAAAAACTATATTCCGGCAAAAAAATCAGATATTACTCAAGCACCAAAGGAAAGGGAACACCCTAATTATAATTAGTAGGCATAGGTCTTTACCTTTCTTTTACCCTTTCTTTCTTGATGTCGAAGGTTACTTTTTTTCAGAACAACCAAAAACACCTATCCAAAAGGGAGACCGCCCACTTATATTGCATGATGCAATGAGTTATTTTTAGCAGCGAGAGTCTGTGTGGGTGACTATCCACACTGTGAATCAACGATCCGATCAGCCCACTGGGCGGGTCTCTTAAGGGACGGACCGCAGTGTTTCCTATTTTTTAGCCGCAGCTGTGGAGCATGCGAGTCTTCACACTGTGAATCAACGATCCGATCAGTCCATTGGGCGGGTCTCTTAAGGGACGGACCGCAGTGTTTCCTATTTTTAGCCGCAGCCTTGGAGCATGTGAGTCTTCACGCTGTGAGTTAACGATCTGATCAGTCCACTGGGCGGGTCTCTTAAGGGACGGACCACCTGTCTCTTATACACATCTAGATGTGTATAAGAGACAGGCCTTGAAGCATGTGAGTCTTCACGCTGTGAGTTAACGATCTGATCAGTCCACTGGGCGGGTCTCTTAAGGGACGGACCACAGTGTTTCCTATTTTTAGCCGCAGCCTTGAAGCATGTGAGTCTTCACGCTGTGAGTTAACGATCTGATCAGTCCACTGGGCGGGTCTCTTAAGGGACGGACCGCAGTGTTTCCTATTTTTAACCGCAGCCTTGAAGCATGTGAGTCTTCACGCTGTGAGTTAACGATCTGATCAGCCCACTGGGCGGGTCTCTTAAGGGAAGGACCACAGTGTTTCCTATTTTTTAGCTGTGGAGCATGTGAGTCTTCATACTGTGAGTTAACTATCCAATCAGCCCATTGGGCGGGAATCTTTAGAAATGGACCGCGGTGTTACCTATTTTTAGTTAGTGAGCTGTTTATTTTTAGCGACAGTAAACTACAAGTTTAAAGAATGGGTTTGCATTTTCAACTATGGCAATCCCAATGTCTGATCTAATCAATTGGATAAAAACTAAGGAATGGTTAATAAGATTTTTTTATATTTGGGGAAAAAGTGTAAAAAATGGGATATACCACTTGAAAATGATCAAATACTGTAGATTGAAATGTTGAATCTTCAAAATGTGTGCCTGTATTCAGAGTTACTCTGTTTTTGATTTAAATGCTTTTGACTGTTATTTCTTAAATTATAATCTCTGAAATATTTTATATTTAACTTTTAATTACTAGAAACTAGTAATGCTATTTTTATGACATTATTACAGGTTTCCCTCCAATTAAAGACCACAATTCAACAAAAATGAAACTTTAATTTTTAATTAATATTACGTATTGTTTCGTACCATGACACAAATGTGGTAATAGGCCTATAAAAACCTGAGCAAAAAAGCTTTTAAAAATAGATTTGAATAAATGCCAAGGATATGAGGCTATAAACATGATGCTCATTCAGATTATGACAAAAGAAAGAGCTTTTTTGTAAAAAAAATAAAATCTCAGAATTTGGAGAAAATACCATGGGTGGCAGTACAGGAGTTAAAATGTTAAGCCCTGTAGACTTTGCAAATACTGTACAGAAAGTAAAAATATGTTTGTTTACATTTATTGCTTTCCAAAGAACAAAATCATCAAATCCAAGTCGCACAAAAAGAAACAAGCAGTTTAAAATGGAAAGCAGGGGATATCTCTATAAGCCATAGAGGTTCAGTGTCCATAGTAAATATTAAAAGTAAAAAAAAAAAGTGAAATCAATTTCCTTAAATGTGAGATTTGTTGTAAAAATGAATTAATTTCTTTTGTGCAGAAAGTAGAAAATGGTGGTGGAAAATAGCTGAAATTAAGTTTAAGGAAAAAAAGAAAATTGCATCATACTTTAAATGATCGGAGTGTAGATGACTGATGTAGATAAGATCAGCCTTTGCAAGCTCATCAAGCCAATCTGCTGGTGGTTCATGCATTAACCACCATCCTCTTGCAAATGCTGGGCCGGTCAGCCACGGATCCGTAAAAAATATGATGTCTTTGAACTCGAACCTCATACAGGCATGGGTAAAATAAGTCATCTGTCAAATAGGAAAAAAAATATAAAAGTGCAATACTTTAATATGTCTTGGTATTATATACTAGTATAAGAACGCTTCAGTAAGAAAGATAAAAGGAAACATAGAGACAGAGATTAATAGGAATGGAGACACTGTACAGTAAAGTAGGAAGCGAGAAAAGAAATGAAATACTGTACTGTAGAAACACGGAGACAAGAAGAAAAAAATATGCAGCAAAAATGGATCATAAAGGAATGAAAGACAGGCAGGGGAAAATTACATATAAAAACAGAGACTGTTGATTAAAAAAAAAGCATAAAGAGAAAAAGATTATTAACAATATAGAAAAGTCTGGCAAATTGTTATAAAAGTAACATGTCAGGCAAAATTAATTATACTGAACTAATAATAATTATGAAATATTTTTATTAACATTTTTGCTGAAGTACAATGCAACTGTACCACTACATTGTTCATCTATATTTGCACACATGTTTTAGTAATTGTTTAGTAACATTTGATATGGATTCAATATGCTACTGCTGAATATTAATGTAATTCTATAGCATACAGATTGTTTGTTCTTCCCCTAATCCAATATAACAAAGACAAAAAAAAACATTGCCCCAAAATTTGAGCATATCATAATGTAATATAAGCTGTTGTATTATCATATTCATATGTTTGCAATCGCAAGAAATATCGCATTTCGAGTTTACAGGGATACGTTATTAATTAAGGTTGGCATTTTGGACGAGTTTTGATTACGTGGCGTGTCTCCTAATCTATAAAAGCAAATTTGCTTTTTTCGGAAACAGAGGTTAAAAATAAATTTAATCTAATATTTTAAATAGATCTAGAGAATTGTAGAGTCAACTGAATTCCACACGATGTTGTACTGTACTTGTCCAGAGTACAGTATACTGCCGCCTAGGCCCACACTACATGGTACTTTTGTCCGTAAATTTTCTTTAGACAAGTCTATGAATATCAGCAATGACTCGGGGTTGCGCACATAACCATGATGTTTGTGATGATGATATAAAATGGATTTTTGTGGTCTAAGCAAAGACACATGCAAATTAAACCAAAAGTGTTCCATCTTTGACTTGTAGTTGCTAAAGTTCCTAGCAGCACCATGTTGGACAATAATATTTGTTATAAGTCAATCGTGACGTCATCTCTGCAACTCCCAATGTCATTTGCCTATCCCCACAGTCCACTAATTTTTCAATTAGTGGATGCTTGGCTTGATTATTAATTTTGCGCACCACGTTGAAGATTCAATTTGTAATTGAAAATTGCTTTCATAAAACAAGTTTAATTAGAACCCGAAGAAAGTTACTTCAAATTCAATATTTAAGGACAACAGGTAAGGAATTCATTGAATCAATGAACCCTAATAAACTAAACAAACTGAATATTTAATAGAAATATTCTAGACCTATTATTAAAGATTCAAGGAACAAAATTAGATGTAGATTGACGGCCAGGCAGGAGGCTGCCGAGGCCTGCTCCTAGTACCAAGCCGTAGCCTAGTGTAGTTATGAAATCATTGCACAATTTTTACCTGCCTGCACCGACCAAAAAGTCAGTGACTGTATTTTCTCTTGAATGTTTTAAGAAATGTTTATTTCTTTGACGAATGTATCAAAATAACATTACAAACAAGTTTTTCTAACAATATAAATTGCAATAGTTATGCATCGTATCCGTACTGTACTGCTGATATGTAGTTAACGCATACTGCAGGAGAACAAATCAGCATATGCACAGCTAAATGTAAATACGCACACAGTACAGTTTCCTGATCATATCACTATAGCAACCGATGACTGCTACAACAGTTGGTTATCAAAACTAACACTAAAGGATGGTGATTGACATATAGAGCAATCATTAGAGCATGCTTCGTACACTAGCGGAAAATTACTATACTTAGGTTAGATTTAATGCATTCAAGAATATCCTTCAGGCATAGCAGGCAGCAGGAAATGTTTTCAAGCATTAAATCTAACCTTCGTATAATAACTTTCCTATAGTGTACTATGCGCAGCTCTACTAATTGCTTATTAATGGCAGCAGCCAGTAAATTTTTTAAACTAACCTTAACTTCTCCAAGTTCTATTGGCTGAGGGTCTCGTTTGTTTTCTTCCCATGGTTGAGGAGGCCTTAATTCCGTCAATGTCAAACAACCATCATCATTAATATCCGCAACTGAACAAAAAATGAATATAAAAATATTGAAAATACTGTCTTAAAATAAAATGGATTTGAGGACACATAATCAAGAGAGAAGAGAACAGATGGAAATGGAGAGACGCATGGCATGTAACACAAGAAAGTTCAGCAGGAAGGACTGGAAAGAGCAGGCACAGAAGAGACTACAATGATGTGAGTGAGACCTAATGCCCAATGAATCGAGCGACAGGACATATGGTCTGTCAGTGTTACAAAAAACCATGTGGGCTAAGGAACATGGCAACTAGCAGTTTGTATGCAAAGTATGTCAACAATCGTTATTAAAGTTCTCAAAGTGACTTATAATAAAATAAATGTAAAACACAATGCTGGCTTTGTTTATTAGACGTTACATATGCAGAAACAAGCTAATAATTATGTATTAAAATAGAAATATTGATGATAGCATCGTCTCCATGAGGTGTATATAAAATCAAGGGGATATAAAATTACGGTATATACAAAATTGAAGTTCTACTGTAAGAAAAACAATATCCAATTGGATAATAAAAGCTTACCTAGTTGTTCTTGTCTGAAACTATCAGGTGGGTTGACATAACGCATAGTACTAGGGTCAAGCTTCCATCCATGTTTTGTACATTTCAAAATGCTGAAGAGACAATAATTTTAAATTACAATATTATAAAATTACTAATTTCCATTGTATGGTACTTTCCACGTCAAAAGCACTGCTTGGAACATTGCAAATCTAAACAGATACTATACTCTTTGGCAGGTCATGAATTCACCACTTTTATCATAGAGACAAAAATAACATCAATTATTAACAACTTCATATTCAACAATAACAATAATTATAATATTAATAATAATAAAATAACAATAAAAACCAAAAAATGTAAAAAAAAATATTTAAAAAAATAATGAAATCAGGTATATTTGACACAACAGTTTCGTGCTATGTTATCATCACATCAGTATAGAGTGGGCTATGTAGGTGCTGTATATACAGTAGATTAGATAACCCATTTGAACCATTTAAGTATTAGTCATCTAAAATGGATGATATTTTCATCATTCTTTATTGTACCTTGCACATGACGTGGACCACCATGTGACACAGGCCATGGGGAGAGTCCCTGCACACGTAATGACGTCACCATAAGTCATGTGTGCAAGCGAAAATGATAAGTTCTCCTCGTTGAGTAGATTCTAGAATGCAATTTGGCCAAATCTATGTATGCAGAGAACGCAGTACGCTCGGTAGGATGGTCATGCATGAGTGATTCCATTCTAGGGTAGCGTCGTCGCACAAATCGAAAGATCCCTATTATTGGTCACAGATTACTCATAGTCTCACAATGATAACTCACTACCTGATCATTTGTAATAATATAATAATAATACATTTAGTATCCAGTACCATAACACGTCAGGTAGGGCAAAATAACATTGCCGTACTCACTGCCACTTGAGGGTCAGATTTAACACTAGTCACTAAGTTCAAACTTAGTGGTCTAAGTGGTTATGACCCCAGGCTAGTTATCTGGAGGTTGTGGGTTCAATTCCCACCCAAATTACTAGCAGTACGATAACAAATCAGGTAGGCCAAAACATCACTCCTATGATTGATATTTTCCTAACGTGAACACATCAAAATAACAATAACAGTGATGATGCACAATTAGATGAATATGGAAACTATCTAATTATTTAAAAATCTGGGTTGCCTTTGAAAACATTACTGTATGTAGCAACCAACACAAAAAGATCCAGGATTGTATTACATCAGAGATGAGTGTACAATAAAATAGCCAATAATTAGTCAGTTTAAATCTCAGTCCCTAAATATCCTCTGTGATCGATTAGAGAAAACAATTTGGATGCAGGAAAGAAGCATCTATTTAATCTGCAAATTGTATAGTACTCTTTCAAGAAATACTATATGATGGGCTAAATATTATTGATCATTTGATTAATCTGGTTACTACAGTATTGGTTGTTGCTTTTAAACAATTTCAAGCTCAGCATTTTCACTTATTATTTGTTGAGTGAAAGGGCCAAGGGAATACTTGTCTGAGTGGTGAATGCTTTCTCGAAAAAAAACAAAAAAAAAAACAGTAATAATAATAAATAATAATAACAATAACAATAATAACAATAAAAATAATAATAGAAATAAAAATATATAATAATAATAATAATAATAAAAATGATAATAATAATAATAATAATAATAACAATAACAACAATAAAAATAATAATGTATACAGTAGGTGTAATTTTGCCCTACCTGACGTGGAAATGTACCGAATACTCAGTACATTTGAAAACAAACTGCAAAAAAAATCGCAAGTTGTTCTCGGGTGGGACTCGAACCCACGATCTCCAGATCACTAGCCTGGCATCATACCTCTAGACCACCGAGCTTGCGTCTGATGGCCATTGAATTCGAGTCCATGTAAGCAGCGGGTACTGCAGTGTTGATAGTAATTGTTATTGTCGTGATGGAATAATAGACAATAACTGGATTTGCGTCAGGAGAAACATGTATAGGTGTAATTTTTAATAATAGTAATAATGATAATAATAATAATAATAATAATAATAATAGTAATAATAAAAATAATAAGTGTCATTTTACAAAGTGTTCTATGCCAGCAAGCTATAATGTACACAAAAGATGCTCTACATAAACTTGTTGTTAACCAATGGCATACAGTATTGTAACATCCATAGCTTAGGCAATGTACTGTACTGTAATGTAATCCTGATCACGTATGTTAGGCCAACATACAGTATTATTGTACTTAGGTAATTGCTACTACTGTATTACTTTAATTACATGTCTGAGGGCTATTACTACTGCTGGATATTTAATCCCGACACGATGGCGTGCATTTCGATACTTGGAGTATGTATTATACTACCTTAACTGCTGGCTAGGTTAGGCAGATTTTTATATTTAAGCTAGTAAAATGTATTGTTAAGAGATATATTCAAGTTGACATCATTTTTGCTTTAAGTATGGCATATGGAGGCTAAATGCAGTTATAAATAATAATAACAACAACAATAATAATATTGATAATAATAATATAATAATAATAATAATAATAATAATAATAATAATAGGCCTAATAATAAATTAGTAGTAAAAAAAGTAATATTATTGTATCTTCAAACTGATGTTTAAATATTAATAATACAGTACTGTACATGCAATATATTCATGGCTGTGTAAGGTGACTAATTTCATACATCAGTTAATAATGAGACATTCATACAGAATATTAGTGTCACTTTCTATAGTGCCACTACCAACTAACGGGAAAGTGGTTGCTCATGACAGGTGATTGAGAGCACACACCATGCAAGGCCCAAACTAAATATGATATTGGGTTGCAGGTAAAATTAATCGATAAAAACAACACAATAAAGTATGCAAACATTGTTATTAGCTTTTGTAATCCACCAGCCACTAAACATTCAAAATCCTACAGTACATGCTGTACTTCTTTTTAATTAGGAAGATTCAAGAACATCAATTCCTTGTTTGGCGGGACAGGTTACTGGTCCTGGTTACAAACAAAAATGTATATTATTCTGATGTTTAAACCTAGAATCAATAGTAATTAAAACATTGGCAAACACACAGACAGTAACATGGAATGCTATTTTTGTAATTTTAGTTGTAATCAAATAAAATCATTGTATTATTTGTAATCATCTCTATTGTATGTATTAGTTTGTATTTAGATTGTATTTTCTTTTTTAAAGTCTTGCATTCTAGGATGGTCGCTTACCAGTGGTGAAATACTGCAGATACTGTAAATCAATTTTTTAAGCCTAAACCAGAGCCTTGCAGGCGTCAACGTTCCTGATACATGACTTAAAAAGTATATACATATATATATATATATACATATATATATATATATATATATATATACATACATGTATATATATACATATATATATACACGTATA